CGTTGAGCTGGTACTTGTGCCGTCATGGCATTAATGAGTGGCTGGAGAAACTCGACTCCATGATATTTCTAATTTGTGCATTAGTATGTCACGCTTGGGTACGCAAGTTGAACGTACGTTGACGAATTCCTTTTTATACAGGTTTCCCAGAATGAAGAGATCAGCTTTGAACGCATCATAAGGTACATCCGACGATAGTTCTGGCAGCTCTTTGTCCCTGCCTTTTCTGCCGAGAACGTACGATGACGCGCCTTCCTCGAAACGTGTCGAGATGCCGAAGTCGATAAAATAGTACCGGACCGGGTGATCTATCCTTGATAATGGTGTGAGCTCGTGCACAGCATCCATGGCATAGCTACGTCTCATGGGATGGTGACCGTTAGGGTATAGTGGTCGTCCATCCATCATAATGTTTGCAGCTGCGCAATCCCTGAAATGCGTCTCGCAGATGTTTGTGACATAAAATCAGATCACATACCTATGCGCTATCCGATTTCCATGAAGGAAGCAAAGGCCCTTTAGAATCCGATATTCATGAGTCGATCAGGTAGACCAGATTAAAACTCGACATACCTCCAGTGTCTGTCTCACAAAATCCACTACCTCGCCAATGGCTCCAAACTCAGGATCATCGAACGGCCGAAGATAGGGCATGACCATGAAGGAGAGCGTATGGTCTTGAGGGTCATCAAATACCTCAAAAAGAGGTACACAATGGTTTGTGGGATCCCGCATAAGCTCTTCAGACGAGAGGAAGGTGGCAATGGCAATTTCGTCGCTGTTCTTGGACGTGGTTTTGATGGAGACAGTTGAACCATCCTCCAGCCTTGTTGCGTCGATGACATTGTGGTGCTTTGCAGAACACAAGCATCAGAGTCGATACTCGGCAACGATCTGTGCAAAGGACGCGTACGATTAGCACTATGGAGTCTTCGCAGAATAATGGATCCAGAAGCGTGTCTATCCACGAAGGCGACCAATCTGGTATGTAGCGAGGTCTGAGTAGATAGCCGCAATTCTCCAAGTATGGTTGCCGATCCCGCCAGAATTGCTCCCCACGGCCGAGTGCAAAGACGCCCTTCGCGGTGTGATCTGCGTATCGTTTTGCCTGCTCTTGAGAGATGTAGATATAGGAAGGCAGGCGGGGATTTTGACTGGTCATATCAGCACAGACAACCGAAAGTTCGAGTCAAAGTTTGGCTTTCAAGTCGCATCAACTACTGGTGCAGTGTAAGGACAGGCTCGATCAGGCACAGTCTCTTTTTCTGTGACAGCACGTGATCCTGCACGCCACCAGACGAAATTGAATAATAAGTAACAGTTACATGTTCGCCTTGCGGAAAACATACGGAGAAGTAGCATAATGGCTACACTTGGCGACAACGTGCCCATAGCAAGACTCCAGAAGGAAACCTGGGCCCAATGCTATGTATTCCTCAATCAAGGTCCATCTCCGCTGATTTGACCTACTAGACACAAAAGACAGCCTACTTATTTCTGTAGCTTGCGTCTTCGTCGTCGCCACCTGCTTCCTTGCCTCTCCGTCAGCCATACTACTCGATGACTTCCGACGCCACATTCAATATATTGGGGGTTGTCTTCGGTGTCTGTGGGCTCTTGCCCGCTCTCTTCACTTTCATCAGCAGCCAACTTCCCTCCAACAAGCTACGGAAGTTAGATTTTGCACTGGAAGAAACAGAGACTCTTCTGAAGTCCACAGTTGAAGAAGGGCTGTTCCCGGATGGTGCTCTAATTCCCGACGCAGAAGGTGACCTGTCTCGGTACGTAGGAAATCCGGGCGAATCGACTGTGGCGTATTCTCATGACTTCAAATAGCATACGCATACACGCAGAAGAAGTTCGTTTGCAGTCACACTGTGCAGCTACAGTAACTAAACAACTGGTCGGGATGTTAACCGGCCTGTCTTCACGTATTTCGATGCTTTACCAGGAGGCCAAACAACTCAAGGCCAGGATATCTGTAAGTTGGCTCCGAGATTAGACAAATCATTCAAAATGCTGAACTGTAAGCAAAGTCTTCCACTGCTGAGGCGCGTAAAAGACTCGAGATCGAAAGACAATTGCGCCACAGTTCCACATGTGGCACCGATTCCCTCCAGACTCATAACATATCACCAGCCGATAGAGGTGAATAAAATATGAAGCGTTCATGTTGCGTGCCATGTTCTGATTCATCTTTTACTCGACCGTGATAGTTCCCGAGACTTATGGCACCTCGTCAAGGTTATGGGAAATAGTTTTCAGTACACCCTTCTCCTTTACCTTTTCGCATGACGGTGCCACAGAGCATTCCGGCATATCTCGTATTAAAGACGCGTTTCGCGGACTGGCATCTCGCTTCGAACGTCACGCTTTCATCCCCCCAGACGAAGCATCCTCATCCGCCCTACCTTTAACTTCCGTTCACATGGCAGTTTTAGACTCCGTAACACTCCTTGACGCAGATAGCAGCTATAATCCGAGCCGGCCAGATACCGCACATACCACGCTGGACTCAAGTTGCTTACTGTCGACGGGTGAGCAGACCACCAAGCCCGACACATGGTCCCACCGTCCTCTGTCGCGTCACCCTCGTCGAGTTCGCCAGTTATATACCACCCGAGGCCACCAGCGTATTTTTCTCACACGGTTCGCCACATCCCAGCGGCCAACTAGAGCGAAGCACAGCCGCCGGATGTCCGCGTCCACCAGGTCATCTATGAGCTCTGCGGAAACTAATGTGATGTATTTCGTCGTTGAAGCCGAACGATTTACCTCGGGCGACAGTTTATCGGGCGATGGTCGCGACGATGATTTATGGGAAGATGATGATGATTTGACCACGCAAGACAAACCTATGAAGCATTGCGCACCGGGAACCTGCGCCCCCATCATCGTATCGAACGTCGTGTAGAGCGGCGTTGTGTCTGCATAGTCGCCTCGAGCGTTTTGGCATACAGGTGCGGACTTCATCGCACTTAAAGAATATGGCGTGCCTTTCTGAAAGCTAGCATGTGAGATATTTAACAGGACGATACACGTAGATCATGACCACCGGTGTAGACACTGCTGGAGGTTGTGTCGGAACGGAGTGCTGTAGAGCACCACGTCGAGCTCCTTTTTTCATTGGATAACTGTATTTATATCACCATCACTGCGTAGCTATTAACCCTGTGAACAACATGGAATCTTGACAATTGGAATACTTCATTTGCCAACAGAGTGATTTATTATATTGGCACTGGTTGGGTACTAGTATGTATACTACCAGAGTATATCTGTGGAAACATATGAAGGCATTCGGAGACGGGTCGCGTGTCCTCATTTCTTTCCAGAAAGCAGCAGGGCGGTTAGTAGGGTGTATAGGATGGCCCAGTAGTTTCAGTACGTCGCACAAACGAAGGGAGGCCATTCTAACGCCACCATTTTCCCTCGTTTTCACAAAATTGCGATTCTGCGGAGGCCTAGTATCCCAGTCATACCTGTCAATCAGACGGTGATCCAAGAATCTTTCAGGGCCACAAATTGCAGCAGGTTGAGTGAGCAGATGGCAACCAGACGCGACCAAGGTGCTCGATAGAGATTGTGTCATTAGACTATTGTGCCAGTAGATTCGCATTGTATATGAATTCAAAGTTCAGACGTGCCAGTGGTCGGAACTATTCAAAAGGGCTTACCGGACCGATGAGCGAGCGTCACCGACGCCGCACTTGTAACTATTATGCTGGCGATGACCACGGCCAAGAATGCATCTCTTGTGAAACCGAAGCAAGTAGCCCAACTCGGCCCAACTCCGTTGATATCAGATGCCGCATCACAAGTAGTGGCCGTGGAGCCGCACCTTTAATGTCTTCCGGACCGATAGGCTTACTCAGGATGAAGTGATCTCTAATCATGGACGCATGCTAAGCATAACGTTATTTCGACCCATGTCTGTAGAGTGGCGGGATTGTCATCGGTAATTGTAGACTCGGATTGTACAATACCGGTCTGTTCAGAGCACAGCGTGCGAACTGTTGCATCATTGCAGGGATGGATCCAGTACGATACGTACTCAAAATTTCGTCTCAGAGACAACAGGAAAGACAAAAAATACCAAATCACGCCAAGCATCCAACCATGCTCGCACAGAGCTGACGCTAATTTCCGGAACCAGGTACAACTTCATTCGCCTTTGCAATCGCGAGTTTTGTAACTCCCAATGGCTCCTTATCTTCGTCGACTTTGTAGCTGCGGAAGAACGCAAGCAGTCTCAGCGCTGGGTTCTCTCTTAGTCTCTCCACTTACGAACCTGTTCCTTAGTGACGCTTTGCTGGAGCGCGCTGACCCACTCCTCGTAGGTCACCAAGGGGACCCCCAAATGCTCTACAATCGGTGTGATGACGCTGTTCCACGAGACACAACGTGGGTGAGCGAGATACAATACAGGGTGTACCGGATCGCGCATCTGGATTGACAGTGATGACTAACTGGCAAACTGAACCTATTGCGGTGCCAAAAACGCTACTTCATGATTAACCCACCTGCACAGTGAGATTAGAGGTTGGGACCTGCGATTGCATAATGGCCATGTGATTAGCTATCATAGATTGTTCTAACTGTACAACATCCATGTCTTGATCTCGATACAATGATTACTGCAAATAATGATACCTGCTGAGCGATGCTAGA